AGTCATACTCAGAATTTTTATCCGCGTTCGTGATCAGTGTCTTATGCAAATGCAATACGTCAACTTCAATTCTCTTTAAAGGAGTTCTGTCAGATATCTCAGGAGTTCTGTCATATACGGACTCCTGCATCCATGAATCGATGTTGATCTCACTCATTATAAAAAATAGGATGTTAGTATTCCAACATGAACTTCATCGAATCGTACTGATTAATATCAATATATTATTAATAAGATGTTAATAACCCAGAAACATTATTCAATAATTTCAAGATCTATATTATATAATGTTCAATAATTACATATTTTATATATATCAAAATACACACAATCATAAATTGAGATTTAAATGCCAGAAAGGATACATATATATATATATATATGTATATTGGGTTAATTAACAACAATTTTTTTATAGAAAAAATAAGATAATAGTTAGTATTTTATAAGTAATAAGATGACAATTAATTGTTTCTAGAACATGTTTAAAATTGATAAACAGTCAAATGTTTTGAAGTCATAAGATGGAAAAAGAAAAGTGTACGGTGAGAAGTTTCCGTAGTTTTAATTTGTTTATCACAAATTTATATAAATTAAATTTATAATCTAATAATATATACGTATAAATTTTTATATAATATTAAATTTTAATAAATTTATTAAGGTTTATAAATATTCTGTACGAATTAAATTTTTTTAAATAAAATAATTAAAAGACTAATATAATTTTCTATTCATCAAAAAGTGTGTTCTTAGAAATTCTTGAATGGAAAATCCCATGACAGTGCATATTGTTAATCATTATCTTAATTATGTTTGTTAATCAGATTAAAAAGTATGATTAAGCAGTCATTTTAGAAAATCAACAACGTTTTTTTTCAAGTCTAATTCAATCATTATCAAAGCCAACCAGCAAATTTTCTCTGGTCATCATTTTAGTTTTTCTACTTTTGTCTTTTTCTTAACTTCTGGTTTTTCTTGGAAACTTCTGTCACTGCACTTTCAGTTCCTCTATAAATACAACCTAAAATTACTCGTAACTTTCTTAAAATCTTTCCTTCTGTTTTTCCACAGATCAACGCCCGTATGGATAAGCTTAGAAACCCAGTTGAGTGTAGGAGAAAGAACAGGAAACCTAACAAAGCCAAGAAAGATCCCATAAAGGTCACATACATCTCTAGCCCCATCATGGTTAAAGCTAACAATGCTTCCGAGTTCCGAGCCATCGTTCAGGAACTCACTGGTCAGAATTCTGATGTTCGAGATGGAGACAGTGACGATCTCAATGATCTTAACATGATGTTGCTCACGGAAGAATTGAATGTTCAAGGCCCAACCAACGATGTATATACACCGACTAGATATGTTGATTCTAATGATTATGATAGGTTTTTTAACGATATACCTTCTGGGTTTGAGGTTAAAGAAGGTTTTAGTTGGAGAGAGTTTTCGGATAACTTTTTCGGAATTCAGTAATCTCGTATTTCTGAATGATCGTCTGGGTTTTCGTTGAATATAAATACATATATTAGTTTCTAGATAGTTTTGTGATTATTTATATGATTTACGTGGCGGTAAAGCAATCAGAACGATCAATAATATGATATGCTAGTTCAAATTCTGAATCGGCGAGCAGATTCTTGTTTTAGCAGCACATGGAAACTTAAAACCAAACAAGACCTGAAAATATAACCTACAAATATACATGATACAGATACACTGCTACCACAAGATTGCATTGTCTCACAACTTAAAAACCAAACAAGCTAATGGTTTAAGGTTTAAACCTCACCATTGTTGTAAACATCAAATAAAAAGTTGTTTAGGCAGCAAGAGTTTTTCACATATTTTCTGCTAAATTCATCTCCCTGACTAGACTCTCTCCTAATTTCTGACGTTAATTAACCATTTTGTGATCATTCTTACCAGTCAATTCCCATCGTCGGCCCCCTTTAAGTAAAGGGCTTCACCCCCATCGCCTGTTCCAGAATTTCCTGCTCGAACTTCAGCAGTCCCAGCACTCCCAACATCTTGCTTGCTCCCACCCGCTAGTCCTCTTCCACCTGCATGCAATCCTTCCCCAGTAGATCCACGGCCAAAATCAGGAAACCCGCCAGCTGCCCCAAGTGTTCCACTCCCTCCAGCAGTACTAGCTTCAGTTGGCAGCATGTGAAGTCCCGTGCTTCCACCTGAGCTCATGCCAAGCTGGCTGTGCAGGGCTTGTTGTTGCAATGCAGAATATGGCTGCTGGCTGTACAACATCGATGAACGTGCAGCCACGAGTGATTGTGGTGTCATCTGCTGGGTTTGTTGGTGTTGCAGGTAGTGTGCTCCAGGCTGCATTATGCCGCTGGAAGCAAACTGCAGGTGCATTTGAGAGAGAATCACACTCTAGTACGTTTTAACACATAAGATACTTTCTACAAAAGTTCAATCCCAATCTATACCAATGGACTCAAACCCAACAAATCTAGAGCAGCTTTGGTCAGATCCTTCAGTCCAAACTTGTGTTAAACAGTTGTGTTTAAAAAGCTTTTAATTTGAAAATGAAGCTAATACCTGGGGATGCATAGTAGTAGGTGGTTGCGGTTGAGAATCAGCAATAGCAGCTAAGTACATCAGGTTTCGCTGCAACCTCGCTTGGTTCCTGCAAGAACACAAGATGATTGCTGACTTCTAGAATTCAAGTTCCAAAATTTTCAGAACTTTAAAACCTGGTAGATTGATACAAGCATACTGCTCTGCATGCTAAGAGAACAACATAATGGTTTCAAGCCACAATTTACTGGAAGGAAACTTTGATAAAAAGATCAGTAAAGCTTACTCAGCACACTCGCTCAGTTTTCCTGAATTCTGGCTCTCAACAATCTTCAAAATCAACGACTTGTTCTCATCCAGATACTGCAGGTGGAAACATTGATCCAAGGATCAAACAAACAATATGATTATCAGCTGCATAACTGGCAAACCCGAAAATAACCAAGAGAAGGATAGAAAGGAAATGTTACTTTCTTTGTCTTTTCTACAGAAGTCATATGCATATACTAGAACTAACCCTTATAATTGACCATGGATGAAGCAAAAGGATCGGTAACCTAGTAGAAGACTCAAGTGGTGACAGCAATCATGATGTGACTCCAGCAAAAGAGAACTATTTTAAAGAGTTTCATAACACTGGCTTCTATTGCTTAGGCCATTTTCCGTTAGAAAATATGACCAGTAATTCACTCTTACTGCAGATATCCTCCCATTCAACAACTATTTGATTCGGAAAAACACCATAAGCCAACCATTTACCTGTTGCTTTTTGTAAAAAACATATTCCTCAGGTATTTTATACTAGTTTTTCCCAAACTATTCAGTCTAGTTGAATCTGTAAATTTTTCACACAGAAGTATGATAGATATTTCTGTAAATAGTATATTTTTCGCACAGAAACGTAGTTTCTTGATATAAATGATAAGCACTCAAAGCAGATGAAAGAGTAGAAAAAGACTTCATTTTTAATCTAACAAGAATAGTATCGAAACCAAGAATGAAAATTGCATCAGAGATGAAAATATTCCTAATCAGAAAATCATGAGCACCAAATGCTGCTATAGTAATAGCTTGATAATCTATCTTCTGAATTAACCTTTCAGGAAGTCATTTATTACTTATTTTTCTTTTTCTGTTTTCTTTTGTCCCGAAACCCTTTTATTCGAGTTCTTTTCTGAATAAATTTACCAGATTACACAATGAGTACCTTCACACAAAGTCCTTACTAGCTCCAACTTCCCAAAAACAAGTACCTGCCTACTCCCGAAGAAAGAAAAATTCTCTAAAGAGAATAGCTCAAATGTAGGAGGAAAACTAACTTCAAAAAACAAAGATAATTCCAAAAATTTTCAATAAAAGATCAAGAGAAAAACAAAGACTCCTGCCGGAAAAAGTAACTTAGAAAGAGAAATCCCATCTCACCATCTAGGATCCTTAATCATTATTCCACTTTAACCTCTTAATCACAAGCAATATTAAACAAATCCCACAAGCATCTGTCTTAAGAAGTCAAACTCCAAAGATAATTCTGAAAAATAATTAAAGCCCACGTCCGACCTCTGATCAATTTAACACACTTACAGGCTAGTATTCTACAAATTAAAGAAAACTTCTGGGATTTTAATACGACATCCTATAATAGGAACGTAAAAAGCTGGCAGGAATCGCAAGTTCCAAAAATTCCAAGATCTCCATGGAAGTATTGCATATCTATCCTCCAAAAAGACATACTAAAGAGATTCACAGATCATGTAGAAACCATCTCATCTCTCAGAAACTATGAAGCAATCTGATTATTATCACTCTGGATAAAAAGGCTTGTGCTTATTGTTGGAACTTGAATTCTAACTGACAGAAGCTTTCAGTTTATATAACATATCTTCCAAAAAGTTGTAATATGTCATTTTACTAAGGAGATTGCTAATTCGACTCCCTTGAATCTTATGAGCTGCTCGCATATTTTAATCACCCTATTTGGTATATAATTTACTGATTTACACAAACAAGAAAATTGGAGATCTTATGACACAACTAGTTGTATAATCGGATTGGTTTACATCCCGCACACAAACCTCTAGATTTTGTTTTAAAAAATTCAAACCAAAAGGAAACAAAATGTTTCATTTTGATTTGATTTTGTTCAGTGTAAATGGGATTTTTTTATGTATTTTACAAATTCTAGAACTTTAAAAATTTAGTTTGACGTATTTACAAGTGTAGACTAAATTAGAAGAATAGAAGCAACAGACCCGAGCCTCTTAAGTACACAGAGGATCCGACAAAAACCATTCCAAAACACTAATAGAACATTAAGAAAAAAAAAAGCTCTTAACATGGCCCATGAAGTTCTCAAGGGACTTACAACAAGACAAAAATTTCAAATGTGATAACACCTAACAAAGACCTACCAAAGCAAAGATGACTCAAGCAATATCCCACAGTTAGTTCCAAGAAAAAACAGAACAACAACAAAACATAAAGGAGCTCTTAACAAAGACATAATTGAAATGATGAAATGGATGGATTACAGACAAAAAGGTTAAAGAAGAACAATAGAGAACAAGAGGGAAGAAATTGTAATTTTAAAATAGAGAGAACTAGAAGAAAATTCATAAAGTGGGTTAGATATATTACCCCTAATGCTTCTAGATATAGTCAAAATAGATTGTAACTCGGTTTCTTGCAGTCTCAACGTTACAAGAGAAAAATAGTTTTGTATCGGTGAGGAAATGAAGAAAGCTAAACAGAATAAAGAGATGATAAGAAGAGGAATGAGATAGGAGGAAAACCACTAGAACCTAGGTGACTTGAAGGTTTCAATGGTAAAGAGAAAGACTTTAGAGGAATGAGCTGGTAGGTTGGGGGCAACAAAGAAGAGAAGGATGGGATAC